TGATCCGCCTGTCTTGGCCTCCCAAAGTGCTGGGATTACAGGCATGAGCCACCGGGCCCAGTCCCGACAAACCATATTTTAAGAGAGCACATTGGCCGGTCACGGTGGCTCACACCTGTAATCCCAGCACTTTGGGAGGCCGTAGTGAGTGGATCATCTGAGGTCAGGAATTCGAGAGCAGCCTGGCCAACATGGCGAAACCCCATCTCTACTAAAAACACAAAAATTAGCTGTGCATGGCAGCACATACCTGAAATCCCAGCTACTTGGAAGGCTGAGATGAGAATCTCTTGAACCTGGGAGGCAGAGATTGCAGTGAGCTGAGATCGCGCCACTGCACTCCAGCCTGGGCAACAGTGAGACTCCATCTCAAAAAAAAAAAAAAAAGAGCGTGTCATTTAGAATTACTTCATCAAAAAAAACTTGTTCAGGAGCCTCCTCTGGGAGATCCTGATGGCTTTGTGTCACACGAATGCATTTGTGAAAACCTGTGTGGATTATTGCCTGAGTTTGTTCTTAGGGAACCTCAGTGTTCCACAGATCTGTAAGTAAACTGGTTGTAGAAAAACATCTAGAGAGTCTGGGTGTGGTGGCTCTCGCCTGTCATCCCAGCACTTTGGGAGGCCTAGGCAGGGGGATTGCTTGAGCCCTGGAGTTCGAGACGAGCCTGGGCAACTTAGCAAGACCTCTTTTCCACTAAAAATCAAAATTAGCCAGGTGTGATGGCGCATGCCTGTACCCCCAGCTAATTGGAAAGCTGACATGGGAGAATCACTTGAGACCGGGAGGTTGAGGCTGCAGTGAGCCATGATCGTGCAACTGCACTCCAGCCTGGGTGACAGAGCAAGACCCTGTCTCAAAATAAATTTGAAACAAACAAACAAACATCTACAACCTAGTAGAACTTCTTGGCTTATGATTGCCAGGGTCAGAACACTTTGGGGTTATTCCTTAACCATAATTGATGCTACCATCTTGGAATCTGACCCACTGCTGGATCAAGGATACTTTGTTATAAAGGATAAAGGATTGCTGTTATAAAGGATACTCCGTTAACTCCCTTCCTTCATTAAAAAACAAAAACAAAAACAAAAAAAACCCAACAACCTGACAAGGCATGGGGCAAGAATAGACATCTGGCC